GAGATATTTTAATTTAAAGTCTAAAAAAAATTTACATAGAAACAATTTGCCTGGATTCTATTGACTCCCCCCATATATTTAGCTTTTCAAACCGGAAAAATTTTTACATAAACCTAAAAGCGACAAATATTAAATAATAACAGTCAAATGCCTCTGAAGGGTAATTTAATTTTCGTTGACATTGTCATACTTGTAAGAATTTATTAACAATGAATTTGAATTAATTACATTCAAATAAATTATATCAAACAGATTGCAATCGAGAATTACTTCCAATCCAAAATGAAGTAACTATCAAAAAATTCTTTTCTGCTAAGAATGCTTTCTGGGAAAATTTTGGATGAGATGAAATATCTCCAATTAATTTGTGATTGGTTAATAGAAAAGAATTTATTGTTGTTACTTTAGATTTAACAAAAGAGTCATCATCAGATTTTTATTTGGCATCTGTATATTTAGTTCGAGAACCAGAAAAATTTTGAGAAAATATTGAGATGGTCAACATAGAGTTTAAGAAAGAAATGCTCGAATGGAAAAAAGAACGGAATATTAAAATAAATTTCATAAATTTGTAAATTAAATTTGTACAAAAATATATAAAATTATTTTGTATTATATAATTTCTTATATAATTGTGTCAAAAGAGTGCACAAAATATGTTCTCGAGATATTGCATTTATTGTAAATTCAGAAATGAATAGCTGCTAATACCTCAGATCAATGTTTATTTTCAAAATTAGTATGAAATCCGTAAACTAATAGTTATTAATAATATAAATTATACAATGAAAAATAATAACAAGAATTTTTTCATCAAAGTTAATGTCCTCACTGTGTTGCTATGCAGCACTATTAACATTATCTCTTAGAACCTTCAGACTTTGATCAATGAGGACCTACATACAAATATATAAAAATGATAGAAATAAAATTGCATAAAAAAGTAATAAGTTAAAACTTACTGACAAAGCCATCACTCTGCTAATTAAAATTTTAAGCTTATAATAATCTGTAATACAGGACAGAACTTCAATCGTAAAGATTTCTTGTATTATAACATATCGATCAATAGATATCATCCTTTTAGTCACAATGTCAAATCCTTCTGTTGATGCTCCAAAGTTTTGAAAATTTTTAGATAATGAACGTCCCTTTTTTTTCTCTTGAGCAACAATATAATTTATATTATTTCGCATTTGTCTACTTAATTTGGCAAAGTTAGTCTTGATCTTTTTCTAAATCTTATTTGTCGGGTTTCCTGCAACCTCTAAAGTGAAGATTTCATAATTCGAATAATTTTGCACAGTAAAATCTGGTCTAGTTCCGTTTGCGGAATCTTGAGAATTTTGGAGTGTATTATATTTTGATGATATTGATGCTGAATTCCTATAAAGAAATTTTGGTATAATTTCTGATATAATTGCAGAGTAATAGAATATATACATTACTTACTAGCTAGTATAAGAACTATCGATATCTGCCAATATATCGATACATGATTCTAAAATCTCTGTACAAAATTTTAATTCAAACATTTTTAATGAAAAAAAATTCTCCCTTCAGAATTTTTTAAGACTAATTCAATTTATTATTTCAATAAATCAGAGAATTTGAAAAGTCAACTTTTCCAATCATTAGATTAATTCTACAAGTTTTTTAATGATAAGATCTGTATGATACATTACAATTTTTGTACAATATCAAAAATGAAAGTAATTTGGCGTTCTTTTAATTTTTTAATTCCCAAATTTACTAATTTCTGTTTAAGTTCCACTTCTTCGAATATATTTTCAGCATT